CATCTTTAAATTGTCCCATAATAACCCAATCTTCTCGTGTAAATATTCCATAACCATTACGTCGATTATGTGCCCATTCACCTTCATACATAGCACCTGGTGCATTTGGCCATAAAAATACACCACTTTTCTCTGAACCAGAATCCCATAATCCTGTATATTCACCTTGACATTTATCTTTTGTAATTAAACCTAAACCAACAGCTTTCTCATTTAACCATTCACCAATATATAAACCAGAATCTTTAAATTCATATCGACCAGCTGGTAAACAAGTTGCTTCAGTTTTTACTAAATCCATATTATTATCACTTCCAAAACATTAAACATCATTATAAAGTATCATTTAAGAAGGATAATCCTTAGTGTTTATGGTAATGCACAATGGAAGATCTTTATCACTATGTATAACATTCAAATGAGTCTACACTATCCCATATTTGTTTACTCATGTTGTGAAAAGGTAAACGAAATCTTCATAATAATGAATAACATCGATGACATAACTATACTACTATTATCAAATGGATCAAACAAGTACTTGGAATGTATGACACATTTTGTCCTAAATTTCAGCTTCCTTATTTATTTGCTTTTTTTCCCCTCTCTTATAAAAACTAACACCTGATTGGTTGTTTTGTAAATTAACCAATCAAATCAATGAAAACGTTTCATGATGTTTCTATTCTATCTTCTGATTGGTTAGTTTCATTGCACACTACATATGTATTTTGTAACCATATAAGGGATCGATCAATAGGTAACTGGGCAAACAGAACATGACTACCGATCGATAGCACATCCATACACACGCAGAGATGGCATTTGGTTAAAATATTTGAAAACAGAGAATCATTTGGCAATAAACTATGTTTTGTACTTTCATTAAGAAGCATAGAAACTCCTACACAGAAATCATCAAATATATCTTATATAAGTGAAAGAAAATGTATAAACAGTTCTATTTTTCTTATGGATTAGTTAAAATAATAAAAATTAACATGGTTACAAAGAACAATTAATGAAATTTGGCAAAGCATTCAAAGTGTAAATGTACATGTCGTAAAGTGGATAAATATAAGAATGAACATTTTTGATAAAGTTTTGTTCATTGAGCTAAATGGTTTGGTCGTGGAGCTTTCATTTTTTTCTTCTGAACGATATCATCATCATCATCATCATCATCATCATCATCATCATCATCATCATAAACTTCAAGTAGAAGTTCAAACGAAACTATCCAGCTCAGAGAACAGAATTTCATCAAAATCATCCACTTGAGCTATAATTCTTTTTCACCATCTTACAAACTAATATATATATAAACAATTAGGATTGGTTCATTAGAATGAAATAGATTGTATCATAACTAAAAATTTTGTATTTTGTAATAAAAACTAGGAAGTCCTTCTGTACATACCTAATTCTTTCTTTAAAAAGAATTCCCTAAAATTAATCCATTATTATCTGTGGTGTAACCGGTGACTGCAGGGTTTGATAAGCAGCGTTTTTATCGATCGACTACAGTGACACAGAAAACACGTAATGAACAGCCTAGGGTTCTGATTGGTCCCGCTTCCCTGTCTAGCCCAGCCAGTTGAGTCTAGAACGCAAGTCACAGCCGCTGAGTTATGAATCGTTATATTTCAAACATACTCTATTTATATACCAACCAAACAGACCACATCGTACCATAAAAATAGAAAACAACATCTGTACTATATTTAACGAGTGAAATAAATAATGGCCAATAGGAAATGTTCATTTAACGTCCAAGGACATCATTAGACTTAACATGATAATGATTAGCACATTATTCCTCAGTATCCATAACAATCTGGTGATAATAAGAGTGAATATATAGGAATTCTCGGTGTGACTATAATATATAGACGAACCAAACTTGTATAACTGTGGTGTTTGAATGAATTAATAATTCCTTTGTACCTGTTGAATGCTTGATTTTGAATTCCGAATACAGTATATTCGTTTGTGCTTATCTAGTACTCCTTGACTCAATTGCATTATTTCTGGGATTTTCAATTCGTACTATAATTCAAATACTCCTAATTATCACAATAACATAACAGGTTTTGGATTTCACCGCGAAATTCACTTATCCATTTTTTTATTTAAGCTAATGTCAGTTCATGATGCAAACCTGAAATCTAATTTCTAACCTTCACTATCAATTGTAAGTCATGATTCTTACTCTTCCCATTGATTTATAAACCTCATTTAGAACTGGTTATTAGGTGGACACTCTCAAGATCAGTCTAGCGTCGCTCGAAGGTCGTCCATACATCATAGTCTCACCAAATTGTATTGATTAATTTACTATCTATCCACTGTTGTCATACAACAGGAGAATAAAACCATATTCCATCGTTTATTATTATTATTACTATTATTATTATTACTATTATTACTATTATTATTATTATTATTATTATTAGTAGTAGTAGTAGTAGTAGTAGTAGTAGTAGTAGTAGTAGTAGTAGTAGTAGTAGTAGTAGTAGTTAGATTACAAACCTTTAGAATAAGTTACATAAATGAATGGTTGTTGAAATTAACATAACAATATTCGTCTATCGCGTCTTTACCCAAAACTTGACACCCATGACATTTAGATCTAATGAAAAGTATTGTATTTTTAGTCCATTAAACATGGGTCCAAAATTTCATACACTCAATTTTAGTTATTCCGTGATATTATGTGGTCATTATTTAATATCAGTTGTCCATGCAATTTTCTACTCAAGATACTCAATATCTGTTAACCGGATAACAACAGTAACAGCTTAATGTGGGAGAAAACAAAGCTGCTTACAATTGAAGAAAAAATTGGGAAAACATGTTGGAAGTGAATAGGATACAAAAACTCGAGAATTTCATGTAAATAATGCACATATATGCACTTCCTCTCTGCTTCGCTCAGTTTCAATGAAAGCAACAATTTCCAAACGAAATTCAACGACCTCCATATTTCTCATTATTGAAATAATCACCATGTTCTTGCTAGAGAATAACTTTAGGAGATAGCTTCCTGAAATCTATTGAGAAACTGTAACCAGTGAAGTTAAACTACGGTGAACATTAGAAATGTAATGTAGCGTGTAGCGGTAAATAAATCTCTAAATTAAATAGCTCTGTAACTCTTCGAAATCGGATGCTGACCACATTAGTTTTAATGAACTCATCTAGCTGAAGGCACACGGTCGTGCATCCGCACCAGACCGTGAGTGGAAACGCCGTGCTCAACATCTCCTACAGTCGCTAACCAGTA